CCTTAACTAGATGAAAAAAAAAACTGAGCTTTTCTCAGTTTTTTCATCTAGTTAAGATCAATTTATTCACATGAAAATTTAAGCTCAGTTTATTTACTTGTGTAGTCTAAGAACTACTCAAGTGAAGTTTAGTTTCTATCAAGGTTATCCTGTTATTTCATCTTCCCTCCACTTTCGTCTTTAATCTTTCTGTGGGCTACTATTGAGTCTGCTACTAAACCGCTTTGATTTTATAAAATCTTACAAGCTGTATTGTTATTATTTTTGTTTCATCTGCATTTTTTGTTTCCTTCATTTAGACTTTCAAACTCTAGAATACTAGAGGCTGTAGATTCCATGTCTTTTTGGAAGCATTCACAGTACACCCTACGTAGAAGACTGCGTAGATAATTCTATGTCTTTGAAGAACAGAAACTACAGAAGAAGGATTAAATATCCTCTTTACTCGAACTAACGTAACAGGATGCACACACTCGGTGCTCACAATTCACCACCACTTGCGGATAAACTAATCCGAAAAGAAAATAAAAATGTAAATTCACAATAAATTAGGATGGCTAAACGACTGTCTCCTTAGTTATCTAAACCGCTAAATCGGCTGCACGCAGTAAAGCTGATTCTAGAATATCAATATAATCTGAGAGATGTTTAACACCAACTAGAGAGCTATTTAAAAAAATGCAGCATAAATTCGAACTAACTTCGCTACTAATCCTCATGAACTCATCGGGCAACGTTGGTGGCTCTTGAGTCACCAACCGCGAAGAATTTTGACCTCTGTTTGGCATTGTGCTCTGAGGCCTTTGGCTGGAAATAGAAAAATAAGTGCTTTTGTGTGCAACTTAGATTAGTATCTAAGTTAAACAAACATGAAAATGTTGTGTTCTATATGGGAAATGCAAAAAAAGAAAAAAAATATATATATGCGAGAAAGCTGTAAAAGTCGAGCTGTTGAGTTTCGTTCGCTAACGGCAGAATTGGGAGAACGAACTCTTGAAACCACAACTTAAACCCTGCTTTCTAAACACACTTAGATTTTGCATACTACGTCACTAAAATTTACATTTCGGCAGGAAACTGAAATCAATAGGGAAACGAAAGTCGAACTAAAAATAATTGGTTAGAATAAAATAAGGTCTTTACAAAGTAACTTCAAAGGCTCGAGATATATAGTACCTCAGTGACGGAAAGCCATTCTTATTTACGATAGCAGTTAACTATACATAAGTATTAATCTCAATTCATCGCAAACTTAGCAGTGAGATTCGCTGTCACTGTGAGTTTCTTCCAAAAAGTCAAATATATTCCACTTTTTCCTGCAAGAGAAGCCAGAGAAATTTACATATGACGATGCGCGGTTAAATCGCAGAGATAATTCAACATATATAATCTCGAGTTCAGTACATTGTTCACTCTCATGATTGACTACTGGTAAATTTACTCATAGAATACAATTTGCTTAAGTATTTGCAATTTGTATTTTTCCCGCCTTCTTGGCATGCCTTGTGGTGTGGTGGTCCGCACGCTGGGCTAGTATTCCAGAGGTCCGCGGTTCGATTCCCGGCGAAGGCGTTGCTCATTTTTCATCTCTCATGCTTCCAAGAAATCCTAATATCTCTACAAAGATATTGTACAAAATCATTTTAATTATAATGAGAGCTTTTGATGTTTCTCATTTACTAGCTTAGCAACTTATAGCTTGTTTTATAGAAAACAAATTCGAATTGACAAAAATCTGTGCAAGACATTTAAAAGTATCCCCTGAAAATATTTTTTTGACAGTTTACTGTTTATATGTCTAGAAAGTTTCTGGGGAAAAACAAAGTTGGATACGATTGTGAGTCAATTCCGTTTTCCCCTACCGTTTCTGTTAGCATGGATTTCGATTAAGTCCAGTTTTACTACAATTCCTGACGTATGGTGAGCAATTAGGTAATGTATTTGTTTATAAATTTATATAAAATAATATAAAAAACCTATTAGTTAATTTCAACTTAATCTATGCGATTAAATTTCTGACAAAAATCTTTGGAAAACAGGTTAAACAAACCAGCAGTTGGCACACTATTAAAAAAATCTGACTGTCGGGATGAAAAATTATTCCAGATGGCAATATTTATGCTACTAAAGTTAACTTCAACTAGAAATAAATCAATGAAAATTCCATTCAAATTTTAATTCAAAACTGAAAACGCCTTTGTATAAAATTTATTGTGATTTAATTATTATTACTATTCCTAAAGCTGAGTGGGTGATTCGCAATGAACGAAAGCCCGTGCAGTGATGGAGTTGAAAGATTTGTGACAGAATTCTCATACCATCAAGTATTCTTCAATTTCTGATTTTACACCGTTTAATTAATCCACTAATATTTTTCATGCTTTCCCCATGCGTAACGTAAATGCGATCCTGTTTTTCTTTAAAACTCCTATGCCAATGCATCATTCCACTTGGACAGATAACCTTTGTATGTTTTGCGATATTAACTTAAATACCCCCCCCCCCCCCCGGAAAAAAAGAGAGAGAGAGAGTTATAGAAGTAACTGAATTTATATTATTTTTTAAATTATATTTCATAATGATTTAGTTACAAGTCTTAAATATTAATAAATTTAACAAAACTTTTTCCCCATTTGTTTCTTCTCTAAATCTGCATAAAATCTAGTCAGATGTGGCGCACGACCTGCTACCAATTCCATATTTTAAACAGCAACGACGTTTAAGTAAAGTATCATATCCGGTTGATTGTTCGTAATAAAACTTAATTTACTGTTCCAGTGAATAGGAAAGTGTGTACTACAAAACAAGATTATATGGGTATAATTGGCTACACGTAGAAACTGGTTTTTCTAAATTTATATCAACATAATCAAAATCTAACGTTTTATTTCTTTTCATTAAAAATTTCATTTTATTGAGCATTTGAATAACATATAATATAAATGGTTTTTAATTAAAAGAAAACTGAAAGTTTGTAAGACATTTCAAATAAATACTTTGAAACGACTACCAAATTTTAATTTCTTCTTGAAAATTATCAACAAATCTAATTTTTTTAGCTGCACCTGGAAATAACAGGAATTTAAAATAAAGCATATAGTATATTAAGCATATAGACAAACAGGAAAGAGGTTATGTCCGAAAAGAAGCTAGAGAAATTTTTTTTAAGGTTTATGTTTCTTAGTAGTATATAACTGAGTAAATATTTTTAGATTCCATGAAGAACACTTGTCAACTTGTAGGTATTAGGTTATTTGGAAACAGGAGATGTGAAAAATGAGCAATGCTCTCGCCGGAAATCGAACCATGGACCTCTCGAATACGCGCCCAGCTAGCTGACCACTAAACTAGGAAGGCATGCTAAGAAGGCGGGAGAAATACCTTATATACTCCCCTTTTAAAGGACGACTGGGATTTAGGGGACCCAGTCACCAAATCCTGGCGATCCAAATCATCATCCAACACCCTTTTAATTCGGCGCCACTGTAGAGACATTAGGTAATTTGGAAAGAGGAAAGATGAAAAATGAGCAACCGCCTTCGCCCGGAGTCGAACCGTGGACCTCTGCAATACGTGCGCAGCGTGCTGATCATTACACCACGAAGACATGCTAAGAAGGCGGGAGAAATACCTTATATACTCACCTTTTTTAAAGAGTGACTGGGCATTAGGGGACCCAGTCACCAAACCCTAGTAGTAGAGAATCATCATCCACAATCTTTTTTAGTTTGGTCGCCACTGTAGTGCTATGAGGTTATTTCGAAGCAGGAGACATGAAAAATGTTCAGTGCCCTCGCCGGGACTTGAACCATGGACCTCTCGATATGTGTTGAGCGTGCTGACCACTACACCCTGAAGGCACGCTAAGAAGGTGGGAGAAATATATTATAAGCTAATAAAAGTTAGTTTCACTAAAAGTTTTCTTGTGGCGTACAGATAAATACGTTCATTTTATATATTATCAAGTTTATTTGAAATGTTATCGAGTAGAAATTAAGCATATGTTTTGAAAGCATAAGTGTTATGTTTAAGGACCTTCTCATATTTTAATTTTGTGTTATAACACAGATATTGAAATGAGTAAAAGCTCCCAATATTGCTTCTTTAACCCAATCACTAATTTTTTTTCGAATATTACAGTATCTGCTATTATGCTGTCCTCCATATATATATAACAAATATTCCCTATTTGCATAATGCTAAAATAATTTCAAAATTTAGTAAAGAAATTTTAATTGCAAAAATAAAAAAATAAAAATAAAATTAATTATTGCTGCGAACAAATTTACAATATCATTTGAATTCTAAGAGCATATGCTAATTAAATGCACACGTATTTAAAACCATGAAAAAAGTATAATATTCCAAAAAATTAATCTCAAAATTGTTTTAAAAGAATTTCTAAGGCCAAATTCAATCGCATAAGTGAATAATTGAGCAGGCAGGAGACAGACGTATCAACGGAAAGTTCCCTCCAAACCTAACTCTTCAATTACTCAATTCGTGTTTCGTCATCCATATAGTTAAAAGTAAAAGTAAAATTCAAAAACAAAAGTAAAACCGACCCACTAGCTACCGAGCGGTAAAGTCGCTGAACACTGGTAGTTCGATCCGAGGTTCGAATACCGCATGGGTGTTTTCGTTGTTTTCCCCATGTGTAACGTGTGTACGAGCCAGTTTCCCTTAGAAAGTCCTCCACGAAATCATCCCTTCCGTTAGGCAGATAGCCCTAGTGTGCTTTGCCATAATTAAATACACCACACCACACCAAATATAAGACCTAATGTTGTGAATTACTAAAAATGAAATTTAAACTAGTAGGAATTTTGAGAAATTTAGCAAGTAAAATGACTAGGAATTAAAATATTAATTAAATGTCAATTAAAAGTAGAACACCAAAGTAATTTAGAAACTCTTGCCTATTGAAAACTTCCCCTGTACGAATTATGCATGGAAACCTAAAATAAACTATATACAATCTATCAAAATGTAATAATAATAATAATAAAAGGCTAGTAAAATGCAAGTTTTAATTTAACTTACCTAGAACTACATATTTGATTTCCTGAGTGTGGACTAGCATTTGCTAAACTAGGTGAAGTTATATATATATACATACATATAACGCACTGGTTTACATTCATATGTGGGGCTCACATAAAATAAATACGCCACGTGTAGATGTAAACCAGTATGAGCAATAGCAGTTGCACATGATCTGCTTTGATATTAATCAGATTGGTCTGAGGAGAGGACGCCTGCTTATTCATTCTGCATTATTGCCATATCTAGCATCAACGTCATAACGAATCCCCTAATATCGTACTAAATGTTACTATCAGGTGATGACATAATAATAAGGCTACACCTCTCCTTCCCTTTTACTGTCTCCTTCATGAAGGCAATAGCTGCAGCTTTATCAGATAAACCTACAATTTGGCGATGACTAAGAAAAATTGGCGATAGAAATGGGAATAATAGGATCATTCTTCCCTGGGGTGTACAATCGACAGTATCTCTTACAACGGCACTATTCCCAAAGGGCAAATAAAAATGACTATTCCGGGTATTTTTTTTCACCCAAACTCCCAAGGGTTCATGTAGTTTTAAATTTAATTCTACTTGAAGTTTTACTTAAGTGGTTGTTCCGTAGTTTTAAAAACCTAAAAATTATTTTAATTCACTTTTGAACACTATAACAACGCTAATTTCTTATTATGTTCTCTTTATTATAATATTCAATGTAATGTTCACATGTTAGTTTTTCTACATTATCCTGCATTGTCAGGTTAAAAATATAATCCATGGAAGTGCATGCATATCTTTTACATATGCAAAATAGCATTGAGAAATTCTTTCATATTTGCCATACAATTAAAGGAGCAGATCATTGTTTAAGGATTACAAGTTTTCGAAAATATCTTGTACACATAATTCTGAGGAAAGCTGAAATAAAAAGACTTTGCTTGCCATATCAGAATTACTATTGTGTCTCGATGGTGAGGATTATCCTACTATATAATTGTAGGTAATATTAAAAACAAAGCAAAGCTTTAGAGAGTACGATTAAAACTATGAAATAACTGATAGTACGTTTTATCGTGTTGTGTTCTGCATCATTACTGCAATGAACGCATTTGTTCAATAAAATAATAACAGCGTAACTAAAGAACTTAAAGAGCTAAAGCCTCATCCGTGTATTTATTGAATTTTCGATGGATATATGTAAATCATCACTACATTTTAAATTAAAAGATAGATTGGATTTTATAAGTAATAAAACAATTCTTTTATAGTGTCACTTGCATTGCTATCGTTTATTTGAACATGCACATTATCGTTAAACTCGATATTCGCATCCGAAGTTATCCGATAAATAGCATATAAATCTTTAAATTTTAAAAGAAAGAAATATTTATAAATATGCATGATTAAAGACAGAATGATTTCCAAAAAAAAAAAAAAAAAATGACGTTTTATGTGCAAATTCATCGGAAACTAAAGAAAATAATAATGATTTACTACAAGAAATACTCATGTAGATTAATGATCTACTGCTTGATAATATAGCCTGTAACGAAATTATAAATATACGACTAATATTTCAATTTTTCCTAAGTACAAGGTGGTCATAAAAAAAACTTCGCGATGTATGAACCCTATCGGTATCCGCTCAACCAATAGAAACGAAACTTGAGATGTTGTTATCTGTTTCGGTTACAGCAAAAATATTTCGAAATTTTCGAATGGCAGCACTTACGTTTTCCTGCGCAAACTGATCAACGCATTTAGAAACCATAAATGGTGTTGGAACAATAGGCGTATAACGAAAATTATTAGCGTAAAACATTTGCAAAAAGAAAGAAAGGACCAACGACAACACAAGGAGAGGAGATCAAAATCTTTCATTGGAATTAGAAATTTTCAACATGTGCAACGTTTCAAGAAGTTATCTTCCGTAAATTTGCAGTTTCGTGGCGATCCCCTGAACGCATTCCGATGGATTTCTGGTTCGGGTTTATCTCAGATTTAATGTGTACACATCAAATCCACGAGATTTGTCAGAATTTACACATGCCATAAAACGGGAAGTTATATAGATTCCTCTTGAGATGTTATGTTCGTCATTGTTGTCAACAGTCTCCCACATGGAATGCGTTATCGTCTGCGAAGGTGGGCACGTTGAAAACTCGCGATTCCAATAAGAGGTTCCTCCCCAATCTCCTCTTTTTTTAAGCTAAGAACATCTTAAGAAACTTTACTCTCTTCCTCAATGTTACTTTTTAATGGGATTTTCAAAACGAATCTTTCTCAAAAACAGAACTGAGCTGGAGGGGGCTCACCCGAGCACTTTGTTAAATTTGTCACTAATATGCAAGCTCCTTTGTTTACTTGTTTATTCTTTTTGTTTATTATTTATTCGTTCCAAGAAAATTGTCCATGTTGTGCGTGAATTGTGTTTGACTTTAGGTAGCCTTTCTGTTCTTGAGGATTGTGATTTCGTCTGAGTTAATTTAAATTCGGTCATAACGCCTTGTACATAGTCTAAAGTTTAAATAAATGCTAGAAAATGCTTAAAGTTCCAATAAATTTATTGTTGAATATCAGATTCTTTAATATCAAGACAATGGAAGTAAATTCCGCTGTTTAGTCTTCCATTAACAGATAGAAGATACAGAAGAATCTTCTTTGACTATACAACATATATGAGATTTAATGACAATCTCCTTAAATAGGAAACCTTTAATAGAAATTTTTCATCAACTTTTGGTAAAAATATTCTGAAGATGCAATGAATAATATGAAAAAAGAAAAAAAAAAGTATATTATTGCAGCATAAAAAATCTAATATATTATGTCATATTTTTGTCTGGAAAAAATATCATATATATTCTGTCATAAATGTGCTGCATAGTTCAATGTACCCGTTATTTTATTTATTTCTGCAATATTTCGTAATTTTAAAATTTTACTTTTAGTTCAAAGGGCATTAGCCCAGATTGGCTATTAATTTCGTTTTGGCATTTTGTGGCGCTTCTCTATAAACGACGTTTCACTTTACAAATTGTTGCCGCCAAATATTAGAGCCCAGCATTATATTTAAAGAAATTAAATAATGAATAATATGTATGAATGCATGTATGTTTCTCGCATTGTGATAAAACAACAGTACCTAGACCCATCAAATTTTGAATAAGTAGTCCTTCACCCGAACATGGGCATCTGGAAACCCGAATCTTGAATTTCGAATTTGTTTTTTCATCTATTATTTTTTATTTTGTAAAACTTTAATTAACAAATTAAAATCTTTAATTAAAATATTAACTCGACGATTTCAAAGCGAGAAACAGCAACATTGTACGGAGAAAAAAACCTTTTTTTGTCTCCAGAGCGCGAGGCTGTGTATCGTAAATTATAAAGATATGCTCTTTTAAATACTTTGTGATATTGCTGTAGAACTGAATTTTATGGTTTAAGTGCGCAGAATATGATCTATACATATATAAAGAAGGATGTCTGTCTGTGTGTTTGTACGCAATTAACTCAGTCTCTTGCAATCGTCACCATACTTTCTACTAGTCTTTTCTGAGTACTGAAAAAGGTCGACGTCAACTAAAGGAAAAAAAAAAAAAAAAAAGGTAAAATGAGAAATATTAATTAAAAACTCTGAAAACGCTAATTTTCCCCCTCATTTTCCGAGTTGCAACAGTCTCGCCAGCTGGAGATAAAAATCTGTTTTATTTCGAGAAGTGTTGCCACTAATCGCTTTCAAATCGTAGAATTTGTTAATAAAAAATTTCGAAGTTTTACAATGAAATAAAAATAGCATTTCCAAACACTAAATGTATTATTCCGAATTCCAAAAATTCATGGGAAGCCATTTCGAAATTTTCCAAAAATTCGTGGGAAACCATTTTCGAAGTATAAAGATTTCGAAATTTTCGAATGGCAGCACTCACTTTTTTCCTGGAACGATACGCTTATAACGAGCGCTGTTCCCCCATCTTCGCACGACTTTAATAAGCCGAGATGTTAATTAAAATCTCTGAAAACATTTATTTTCGCACTCATTTTTCGAAGTGGCAACAGTCTCGTACGTTGGAGATATAAATGTGCTTTATTTCGAAAACTGTTGCTACTGCTCGATTTCAAATCATAGAGTCTGTTAATAAACATTTTGCAAGTTTGACGAAATCTATATATATATAAAGAAAAATGTGTGTTTTTTTATTTGTTCTCGTTATTGATTTCTGTTCAATTAAGATAATTTTTTTGCGACATTTAATCGACTAAAATTAGATATAGGTGAAATATTGGAAGGAACTTGAGCTTTTACGCCCATTAGATTAGAAAGACAGAAATCATTAAAAACTGCGTGCCATTTGTTGCTGATATAATGAGCGAGATTTAGTTACTTTTCTACGGAAATTTTTTATGTGGGTTCCATATCGCATCAGACTGAAAAATGTACGACTATGAATCGTATTTTTTGTATCGTTATTAGAGAAGCATTACAGTTGTAGCGTTCTCTCTGTTGTTAGATACATTCCTCCCAATCTAACTTAACTGGCATTGGGTACTTCCACTAGTATTTAATAAATAAAGGTAACACATAAAACGTTATGAAAACGCCCATTTGGATGTAATATAAACCCATTTTATATTTTATTTTTATTCCAAAGGAGATTTGTCCCTGAAGGACTATTGTTTTCGTTTTGCGATTTTGCGTTGAATCACTATAAATGTCCGTTTCACTTTTCAAACTGTTGCCACCAAAATGTTAGAGTCCTGCATTATATTTGAAGAAATTAAATAATGAAAAATCTGAATAAATGGATGTATATTTCTCGCATTGTGATACCAGCGCGCGGAACTGTGTATCGGAAATTCTAAAGATAAGCTCATTTTAAAGCAATTTTGCGATATTGCTGTTGAACTGAATTTCATGGCTTAAGTGCGAAGAATGTGATATTTAATAAATAAATGTAACACACAAAATGTTAAAAAACTCCCCTTTGGACGTAATTTAAAATCTGAAACTTTTCAGATTTTCTTTTTAAAATTTTTAATTTTTTATGGTTTATATTTTTTAATATTTCTTTCACTTGTTTATAAGTTTATTTATTTATTTGAAATTTCTATTTTTGTAAAGGATGAAACATTTAATTACAATCGATATTTTGTTTGTATGAGATAAATTGTTAACCATTTGTTAAAACTTTTGGTAGCTCACCTCTGCTTATAAGTCTAAATCTCATCATCACATAAACTTGATGAATCATCCTACTGCTCAGCTGAAAGCACCGAAGAAAACATACTTGCGCTCAAATATAGATTTAAGGCTGCGTTCTTACAGTCTATTTGAAGACATTTGAAGAATCGCACAATTCACACTTACGCACATATTCCGAAGGCGCTTCAAGTGCAGAGTGTACCCCAAAAACTTCTCATTAGGTGCATTTATAGAAGAAACTCCATTTGGTGCATACAAGTATGAAACCACACCAATGTAGCCCTGTAGAACCATTTAAAATAGGTGTACCAAAACAAAAATTCAGTAGCGAACCGCCTGAGTTCACACATTCATCAGAAACCACATGCTTGTCCTCACTATCCGGGCTAATTCGTTCAGTTCGTCACATGAAGCTCCACAACAAACTGCACGTCATTATAAATTTTTGTGTAAGTACCTATTTAGTACATATATCATCAAAACACTTTGTTTAAAACTTTAATGTGTAAACCACACATAAGGGATTTTAATTTAAGTATTTTTGTTACATGCATAAACGACAGCTCGGTTCAAACATAAATAAACAGTTGAGTAATAATCAACTATACCTAAAGAGTTCAAAACAAAATATGATGAAACATTTGTCATTGTGAAAAGAAATGATCCACTTAGTAGTCCAGTGAAAAATAAATGGTTTTGGTTTTGCGAAAACATAAACTACTAAATGCTTTGATACTACTAAATAATTGATAATGATTAATCTTTCAATAACTCTCAATGTGTATTAATTATGAATTAATTGATGTTTGAATGATTTTGGTAATATTTGTTTGTTTAGCTTGTTTTACTTTAAGCAACTCGATTATTTATTTAAAACTGACATATTAAAATTTCATTTCATGAGTTACAGTATATAGATTCACAGGTAACATGATTTACATTTTCAACTAAATGACAAAACAAATTAATAACATTGCGGGGTCGTAGCCACCCGATTAAAATGACACAGGATTTTCAAAAACAGTCTTTGAGTTACTACTTAAAACATTTAGGCCTAGAAACAATATAAAAGGAATCAGTTATATCCAAATAGTTTTATCAAATTCACTGATACCGGTATTCACCGGTTACACATATTATAAAATTCAGTGCCGCCCAACGGTATAGTGGTTAGCGTCGCTGACAGCCGTGCTGAAAGGCCCGGATTCAAGTCCTGACCTCTAAATATGCGGAGGTCCGAAAGTTTTTTCGTGTGGTTTGGTGGAAGGGGCGAGGAATGGGAGACCCTCGGACCCGTTCCCCCCCTCCCGAAGTGCTCTCCGTCAAAATTGGGGGGCGGAACTGAGCTAACTCGCAGTGTCACCTGTAAGGTGCTCAGGGCTGCTGCCAATGACAGGCACACCTCGCGCTCCTTGCCACAAGAAATTGCGTGGGCTTGGGCTGATGATCCTGTTAGACAAGTGAGCATAAGTAACAACAGCAACATAAAATCCAGTATTTGATAGACCAATACTTTTCTTAAAGAAACAACTCCACAGTTTTCCATGGTTCGCTGACAGCACAATAAAAGGGAAAATTAATTCTGGCTAACACCGGGCAAGATTCAATGTTTATATTACAAGTAAATAAAATTTGGTGCTAAATATTTTTCTATTCTTTCACGACGTCATGCGAAAGCTCCCCGACTCTTCTTTGGCGAGGAAGCCATCACTTTACATTCAAACAAACCCAAAGGGCTTGCCGTTCTCCAGTTGAAAATAATGAAAGCCCTGTAGAACCATTCCAAATGGATGTATCAACTTTGCTTGAACTCTCTTTTGTCCTCTTTTTCCATATTCCGTCCTTGGAAATTTCAAAAGCGACGAAAAAATGAGCCGTCCTACATGTACGCCTACATGCTTTTCGGAATAATCAAAATTCCACTAGCTAGCCTTGCTTCCAGCCCCCATTTACCATGGTCACAAACTGCAATCTCCAAACGTCGCCCCCTTTTCTTCGATGGTTTATAGAATGAACCATTGTGCCTCCCTTCGAACACGCCATCGAACCACTGTGCCAAGCAACATGAAAGATGATAAGAACATTTCAGAAAAATTCTAGAAGACAGACACGGTCTTTTTTGGAGTATTTTTACACTTCCTTATTAAAAGGCCTAATTCTTTACAGTGACAAGAAATTTTCACCAAGTTACAGGCAGTCGAAAATACCAGACTGAGCCAGAAATTAAAGATTCGGGACTTTATAGGAAAGAAGAGGAAAAATTAAGCTAAAAAAAATCAACTTCGGAAAATAGTTAAGTTTGAATACTATTAAGTCTAACTTAAAAATCTAATTATAAAATTAGCAAACATTAAGTGTATTAACCTTTTTTACCAAACCATTCAAACACCACCTAATTCAAGATATTAAAACAAATGAAACTTAAATTAAGAATTCACTTTTCGTAACAGAAATTAAATATAAGCTAATACGGAATTAAGATGTCTAATTAGCTGAACGATTTTCATAATTCATAAAATGTTGGAAGAGGAAGAATTTATGCTTTACAAACACAAAGTATATCATATGCCCCTCAGAGAGTATAGTGATTAGGGAAGCTTACTCTGATACCGAAGTGTCAAGGTTCGAATCCTGGAGAAGGCACAGTTGTAACTGTGCGTCCTCCCTCCATAGGTGGCAACGGTGGCCGCCTATTAGATGCCTCCACAACAAAAAGGCCTTCTGGACTTAGGAGTGGCCGCCATTGTCGAATAGGCAATGGCGGTCATCCCGCCATAAGATTAAAAAAAATTTGTAAACTATTCGATTCCTATTCCGCTGTAGAAAATTGATTTAATTTGTCTAACGAAAGTGTCATTTTGCTTCATAATAATAAAATTAATCAATCATCATTAATTGCAAATCTAAAATTTCTTTTCAGGTTAATAAACAAGTTGAAGACCAAGAACTCTAAAGAAAGAAATTGGATGTTGCCATCAGTGATCCTGGTGACCTTTTTTATTACAGCTTTCCCAGCTATTTTCTTGCAGAACAACACTAGCCATTTTTATGCTAATGCTCAATTGCTAAATTGTATTCAGGCCACGAAATGATGTATGCTTCGATAAAAGTGCAATGATTTCAACGAACTGCGTTAGGTCTTTTTGTCACATGCATCACAAATGTGTCAAATCTTTCGTAATAAATAACCATAAAGAGTAATCACCACTCTTATTTTCCACTGAAAGAATAAACTACCGCTGGATTTATCTGTTTAAACTTTGGCAAAGGTATTGTATGAAAGAAAATTTCAATAGTGAATACTAAAATAGTGGTTATTGGAATATGAGAAAAACTTCCATTTTGCTTAATCCTAAACTCCTAGGAGGTATGAATGATTCTCCACGAGAAAATAACGAGTCCTAATCCTCCCTCAGTTATGTACGTCTACCCTTCAGATGGCGGCGGGGGAGATGCTTCTCCAGATAGTGCCGGACCTTGTTGCAACGGTCGTTCGGGTTCCAATCAGGACCGAGCCACCTCTCTGGTAACACCGCCAGCTTCACGACGAGTTGCCAGTGGTACTGCACACCATCCCCAGCAAGGCTGTGGAGCACTGGAAGGTCATGAAGGAGCCCTAGTGGCACCTAGTGGGGCCCAGAGAAGACGTAGCAACGGAGGAGAATCTATGAGCCATTTGACAAGAGAGGAGAGGCGAAGGCGGAGAAGAGCGACCCAAAAATATCGCTTGGCCCATGCCACACGAGAGAGGATTAGGGTGGAAGCATTCAACGTCGCTTTTGCAGAGCTGAGGAAATTATTACCAACTCTACCACCCGATAAAAAGTTGTCTAAGATAGAGATTTTGAGACTGGCCATTTGTTACATAGCGTACCTCAATGATGTATTAGATGTATGATAAAAGGTTTGTTTGGGCAATTTAGAAATCATAGCTAAGAAATCACTGGCTTAAATTAAGAATCAAAGAAGCTGTTCTCAGTGTTAGTTAATTTTTTAAAGCAATGCAAAATAAGTTTAGGCAGGCACATTTATGCAAATGTTGATACAATATATGAAACCGATTTTCAATGAACCATCTATGACATTCTCTCACTTTTCTTTCCCTCATAAAATAAATCTTTACAATTCCAAACTATCAGGACATAATATAGCGTCTACGGTTCTTAAAACTATTATTGTAGTAAATTAATGAATTGCTAATCATTGTCTTGAGATGAAATAAGCTTTGGTCTATCTTAAGATACAAATCTCATAAAATAATAGAAAATAAATTGATGCTACTTTTAATTCCTGTTTTGGAAAATGCATTTGTTGTTAAGATGTGTTATCTTTGCTTTCTGTCATTCTTTCATCTGAAATGCCAATGTAGATCAATTTGTTGAAACTGGTAACTTCCCTGCTTGTATTATTCCCTTGCAGGTAAAGCTCTTGCATAAGATAAGGAGAGAGAGAACTTATTAAGTGTACATGGCAATAAAATGCGGGTCTTTGAAGTAAATATAGTGAGGATATGCAAGAAAGTAGCTGTTCTTTTGAAAGTGTTAAAATATCGGTTAAAAATTATGCATCTTGGTAGATTAGAAAGTTTAGAAGAAATTATTAGAGCAAGTACTGTAGTTCAGAAACCACGAAATACTTTCAAAAATCAAAAAGCTTCTTTGGAGACCTAAGAAAAATCTGTCACGACAAATATATAAACATAGTTTCCTTTAAAAAACTTAGAAATTATGTTCAAATAAACTTAGAACACGGTACCTTAAAGATTCTAGTTCTTAGCTTAAAGCAAGTGTATAGAAATGCAGTTATTCAAAATAAGAAACTTGTCAACTTGTCTTTACTATAAACTCAGGAAAGACTGTTGAAGGCCAGAAGCTCAGCAACTTTCTTGGTATCTTACGTAGTCCATCCTTGATGTCTTAAATGAAAGTATTCCTCTGAAATTGTATAATCTAGCGTCCCAATGTTATGATCAACATCGTTTAAGAGCTAATGTGGTCCCACATCCTGATGTTGCTCAACTGTAGATTAAATTTCTGTTTCAGTGATAAAACATGAAAAAATATTAATTTAATGTGAAAAATGAATGCAAAAATTTGTAGAAAAAATATGTTGTGTATAAGGATGCTTTAGAACAACTTTTCTTTAAATCTGTATGTTCTTAATGTAATTAATGTAAGATTGGTTTACTTAACTTTCAAGCTGGTAAGGTACGGATTCCCAGGATATGACGATCAAGTTTAAATTAACGTTTATTTATATATTTCAGGAATATCTAATGATTATTTTATTTACCAGAGGGATATCAGTTGTATCTTGGTATCCTTCTCATTACATTGAAAACAATGAAAGCATTTCATAGTGAAATATAATATTAATAATCATATCCATAAATAAATGTTAATATGCTTTCAAAGTGTGTACAAAGAATATAGTTTTATCTCTTGGTCTATGGGATCCCATCATACCAGTTACGCACAAGGTTTTCATCCTAATTTAAATTCGAAGCAAAAATGAGTAATTTATTATAAATATTTGCTTGATTTTCGGCTCATTTCTTACTGCTAATACTTTTGAATTGTTAACTATTTTGTTGTTAAGTAATTTCAGCTCAAGCATATATAGAATGTATTTGTCAAATGCTATGTAAGCCAAAAGTGCAATCTATGTTTATAAATATATTTTTAATTATTGTATATTTTTATTTATTTATATATTAAAAGCCATGTTCTAGTCTTAATAGCTTTAATTTAATGTGAAATATTTTGTTTTTAAGTTGCATTTTTTATGAAATACATATCAAAAGTGTACAAAGTATATGCTGTTGGAATTAGCAGCTTATGTACAATTGAATAGTATGAAATGAAAGCAATAAAATAATAACAACGAATTGCGATTAATTCATTTATACCCCTTATGACAACCAATGATAATGTCATGGTTACCCTTATGACAACCTCATTTATACCTCTTACCTTACCAATAATGAAAATATCAATTACAAATATAAGGCAAGAGCTTCCAAGCCATGTTTTAATTACAGAATTTTTCTCTGTATTAATTGATAAAAATAATTGATTATAGTGGTTATAAACTCTTTCAGATATATTAATTTTTTATTAATGTTATCAGGATCAAAGTGAGTTTCGCTTCTGATGTGATAAATGTACTTCTTGATGCAATTAATTTAAGCTTAATAACTTGTTGTTTTAGCCGTCAACTAACAAAATTAAACAAAAAATTTATTAAATTATTATAGTTGAAAATTTTCCAGGACTACTTTCGGTGGTTTAACTACCGAATCCCCTTCCTCAGCTGCCACAGTGCAAATGAACGAGATAAGATATAGTGATAAGATAAAATAAGAATGGCTGGACAGGAATCAAGCTACTGGCGCCATCTATTGATGAAACAAGAAAACTAAAACAAAATTTCCTTAAAGCCTGAAGGTAAAGATAGATTGGAATTAGGATTTTTAACAAGAACAGAAAGGTTTTTTTTTTTAAGTGAAATGCCTCTGTAAATCTAATTCACGAATAGAAGATTTATTTTTTGATTTTCGGATCACCAGTTCTTGACAACAGAGGACTTCTGTGTTTCCTTTTTCCTAACGTATGCCTCATGTTCTTTAACGCGAAACTTTAAGGCTCTCTTAGCTCGAACAATGTAAATTAAATTCATATCCGGAATGGAGTCCTTAAGTATGGAACCGAGAATTTTATTGATGGGAGAATAAACGACCCGAAAGTTAAATTTCTGTAAAATACGTGCAATTTTGTAGCTAATTATCCAGACATCCTTATTTTACCTTATCTTATCTCATTTATTAGCACTTTGGCAGCTGAGGCAGAGGATTCGGTAGTTAAACCATGGAAACTAGCCCTGGAAAATTTGCGAATATAACGCTAATTTTTGTTGCTTCTAAAATAATCGTTGTTTGGCTTGTTATTTTAACCTGAATAACTTGTTTTAACTTTCGTATTAACTTAACAGCACTATTTATATAATCGTTTAGAAGCTGAGAACATAGTGCATCAAATGGTAAACACAGGATCGATAATTGATTGAATTATTGTTGACTTAAATTATTTTTATGGTGACGGTCAATTCCTTTAATTTTAATTCCAAAACAAAGCTCATTCGCAGTTGCATTTCGTAGGATCAGAACTCAATAATTTGAATTATATATCTTTTGTTTGCTTAAAGGCGAGTATTTAATCTTCAAGTCAGAGTGCAATTGACAGTTTCGTTAATTTTACCAGTTCTTGATAATTCATGCCTGTTCCGACTTAAACTGAAAATACTGCCTTGGAAACATCCATTGTTTATTGCGAAATCCAAAATTTGCAAATCTTAACTTTAAGATATATCGATATACTAACTCGTATTTGTAAGGAATAAGAAATAAGAAAGGAAAATAGAACTATTGCGACACGGATTTATAATTGGGATTTATAACGGATACTGATGCCTCAAAATTCTTTCACAGAAGAAGCAATAATAGATTGGTAACGTAACTCCAGCTCTGACCTTATAACTAGAATTATTTATTCTGTTTCTTTCACTAAGCATGAAATACAAAATATAAATAGTTCGAGATAGAATTGCTTAAAAATGCTTGTTTTCTCACTTTTGAAAAAGTGACTATGAAATAAATGGGCTTTCGAATGAAGGAAAATTCTTTTGTATTTTAGAAAGAGAAATGCTTGAAACATTTTAAATATTCAGAATAATTTTTAAAGCGCATGACAAATAATCGCAAAATTTGTAAAGTCGACTTAAAAACCAATATAAGGTTAAACCATGTAGCAAATATACGAACATCTCCATCTATCTCTGCTTATATAATGGATTTCAATCAGATGTCAAATATTTGAAAATATATAACCAGGAAAGCATGCTAACTTACGCACAGTTAAATTTAGCTTTCAAACCTTTATCCAATTGTTGTAAGTATGTTTTTGTGGTGCACGCTCAGCGCGTATTTGAGAGATCCGAGGTTCGTGTCTCGATGAGAAAATTGCTCATTTTCACCTCTTTTGCTTCAAAAATACCTTTTGTTTCTATAGTGGCGCCCGAACTAAAACGGTGGTGCATGATGATTCTCCATCACCAGGATTTGGAGACTGGATTCCCTTATCTCCAGTCGCTCTTTAAAAGTGGAAGTATATAAGGTATTTCTCCCGCCGTCTTATCATTCCTTCGGGGTGTAATGGTCAGCGCACTCGGCGCGTATTCGAGAGGTCCGCGGTTCGAGTCCCGGTGAGGGCATTGCTCATTTTTCATCTCTTCTGCTTCAAAAATACCTAACGTTTCTACAGATTGTAATATGTTGAAAATTGATTTTAGTTGTTCACTGTTAATAAAAGGAAGCACTCTCCGATGATTGAACTAATTTGTGGTGGAAGGGAAAAATCTCAAAAGTTCAAATCTTCGAACGAAGGGGTGGAGACGAAATAAACAGAACTCGACTTTATTTTTTAATGTAGTATTTAAAAAAAAATCTGATGTGCACGTCACATGAATTAATAGGAAGTCTTATTAAATTATATACAATTTTTTCTGTAGCTCATTTAAACTTATTTCCTTATATTAGTTCTGTAGCTCATTTAAACTTATTATTATTCTATCTTAATTAACCGATTTCTAAAAGCAAGTTGAAAATGACATTAAAAATTGCAAAATTTGAAATTACCACGTTGTTATTACCACGTGGACGTTCGCGTAAAACATTAAATATACAGTAATAATAAAATAAAAAAATACATTAATTTATTCAAGATGTTGCAGGCACTTATACTCCCGGAACTACTGCCCCTCACCAACTATTTGAAATCGCCGTAAAAGCGTTTCGTTGAAAACTTGAGAGACCGAAGACCTTAAACCATTTCAATAAAATTTCCAAATCGAATGCTGGCAGAAACGAAAAAGCTCCTATCGTTCCACAAGAATAAAACGACTGGGAATGGAGAGGGGGTTGAGTAATCACCCGACTCCCTTCCCTACGACTTCGTCGTCGTCCTCGATGACCGTCCCTTAGGGAGCTTTTCCCTTCTCCGGTTTTTTCCCACCGGAGAAGACGAATGACCGCGGGAAAAAGCTGTACAGAGGGGCAAAATAAACACTACTGGATGATAGGGTCAAAGTCTAATCAAATCCTTGTAGCGTGAAATGGACATTGCGGGTCAGCGAATTGGTTTCACCAGAGCTGGTGGAGTGGAGAGGAGGCGAGAGTTTAAGAAGTGGACGTAGCTTACGTGGAACTAAAAGGAGTGGATAATGGTGTCGTTTTTCTTCTTCACCGGCTACTCTTGCCTTCCCTCCCACACCTTAACGGCCTCTTCCAGAAGAGACAACTGACCAGCTTGGAAAATGTCAAGATTAAGCTCAGATTGGGTGATTACATCCGATCCGTTGATTTCTGTTTAAGTAGAAGAGGAAAGAATAAATTTTTGAAGAATGGGAAAGTAATATTGAATTCTAAAGAAATGTAAAATTCAGCTTCTAGTGAATCTGAATCAGGAAACAACAGGAAAAAAGATTCCGTAAATCTATTGCCTGCTTTGGAAGACGTTGGATAACCATTTGAATTTATACTCTTTTGCAATTTGTATATTTGCAGTATCCCTTACAACCAATATTTTGGTAAACTATATCTTATCAAATGAACAATAACTAAAGTTCATAATTCACTTGTTTTCAAAAAATACATTTTAATTATACATTAGCTCTTTTATATCATACAACTCAGAATTCAGTTGTTATAAAAACTACGCCTATCTTCCCAAAAATTATAACTCAAATTCTACAAAGCAAAAGAAAAATTTTTCGTTTCCGTGGCATTAGCACGTTCTTAATGACCCACTACAGATCACATGCATACACTGTTAAATAAGCAGGCAAGAATATTAAGCATTTTATGAACTTAAAAATAACAGTGTTTGTCTATAAAAATTGAACATATGCATATACTAGATAGGTTGCTGCGCTGTACAGGTAGAGCGGTGAACGACGATCGCTGCCGCTTCGTTGGTCCCCGGGATCAAATTTTGGAAAAGACTTCAGTGTTTGTAAGTGTATAATATCTACGTGGCAGGGGGGCACTTGAAATGCTGACAAGCTGAAAGTCCTCTTGAGTTTTAGTGGTACGGGAAGCGGAGTAGAAGACCCTTGGATCCGTTTTCTAAGATGTTCTCTATCAAAACTGGAATAAATTTGTATAGTTAGTGCAATGAGGGCTACGCCTGTGAAACCACTGTCACCAGCAAAACAGACCTCTCAGCGAAATCACAGCCAGATAAATTTACCATCGCTGTATCTGTCGGCTGCAAAGAGCTTTCTGGATTCATCTTCGTCAAAAAAAGTCCGATTGGCCAACAATTGGGTTTGCTCCTACATGCATAAGTTAGAGAAAGTTACACACTGCTCCGAATACTCACATGAACATCCATCCTCCCCCGTTAAAATCCTAAGTGATTTCTACAATTGGTGTATTTTGTAGCTTCTGTAATCATAAAATAAAACTTATGCAAAAGGTACAAAAATATTAGATGCAATGCAGTTCACAATTTTTAGTATGTATAGGATGAGGACACACTTTCACGACAGGGCTTTTTATGATACCATGAGCAGTTTAAATACTAACAACTCTGACCGGATTATTTGAGCCTGGATTTATTCTCTCTAACCTTTATTTAAGGAATGGAAAGTTGTCGTCTTTGATGAGAATTAAGTCATTTACTTCTAAATCTTTTTTGCATTTTTGCAACCCTGCTGTAGTTGAGCCAGGTATTCCCCAGTGCATCTTCCCAAAACTTCGGAAAAAGGAATTGCTTCACACGCTTTCTGTCAAGTCTATTCAAGAAAGTTCGATTTAGGTCTTTTTGAGGT